TCTATTTTCCCACTGGGTTCGAAGGACCTTTCGCAGACAGCGTTGATAGTACTTCTCCAACAACTTGAGGTGTCTCCTGTATTTGTCCACATATCAGCTCTGTACAGTAAAGTGGGGATCACAACTGCTTGATAAACCATGAGCTTGGTTTTGGATCTGATGTTGCAATCTTCGAACACCCATTTCCTCAGGCATCTGAAGGCTGCACTTGCGCATTTGAGGCAATGTTGGATTTCTTAGCTGATGTCAGCCTTCTGTGAAAGATGGCTTCTGAGGTATGAGAAATACCCAAATGTTTTCCAGCCTCATCCTGAATCTGAATGACCAGAGCTGGGGATAGCTCATTAAAAACTTGTTGATGAAGAACCTTATTCCTCTGAATGTTAAGTGTCGGTTCCATTTTCTTGTATGCCTTGGTAAAAACACTGATGATTGCCTGAAGGTCTGCTTCTGAGTGAGCACACACTAGAGCATCATCAGTGTACTGGAGCTTGGTGATTGCGGTCGGGTGGTCTTGGTTTTGGCTCAGAGTTGGCTGAGGTTAAACAGCTTACCATCCATTCAGTAGCTGAGCTCCACTCCAGCTGGAAGCTTGCTGGTGGTCAAACAAGCAAGGAACATTCCATCGCAGCAAGGAATATTGAGAAGAGTGTTGGAACGATGATGCAGCCTTGTTTAATTCCTGTCTTAACCTCAAAGGGATCTTTGATTGCAATGTTTTAGTATGTGGTACTTATAGGGCAGTACTGGAGAAGTGATGCCAAGGTTATGAGTTCAAGCCTCACCTAGAGCATTTGACTTTGGTGACAAGGTGGCCAAGTAGCTAAGGCAATGGACTGTTAATACTTTGTGATCTGTGCACATCAGTTTGAATCTCTTCCTAGTCATTCATAACTCAATATACTTCAGAGAACTGGGGTGGCACAGGTGCTAAGGCATGTGGTTGACAACCTACAGGTTGTAAGTTCAAAGCTATAGCAGAAGTTATAGGGGGTGGAGGTCCTTTACTGCCTTCAGAAGCCCCTGGCCCAGCCCCCCACCTGGGTCTGGTACCACCCAACCTCCAGTGAGCAGGGCTGCCAGAGTCTGGTGCTCCCCCTGATGGTAGCAGGGGGCCATTGCAGGGCCCCAGGAAGCAGGAGTAAATTAGCAGCAAATCTGTTCCCACTTCTCTGCATGTGTAGACTTGTGCCCGACACCATTTATTTGCAAGTAATTTACTCATGACTAAACTGGTGTCACATCAAATGCGCTTGCAGACACACCCAACAGAGGTGAAAGGGGAGATAATGTTAGTATGTAAAAGATCAGGACAGATACCTGATGTGGCCTCTGAAGGTAATAAAAATGGTTGCTGTTCTTATTGGACAGAGGAGGAGAAAGAAGTGGACTCAGAAAATGATAACAGAGTGTGGGGAAGAGTAATTATTTAAGAAATTTAAAGGGGAGGAGGTGTTATGTTGAGAAACTGTACTATTCCTGCACAATCTAAGGGTTCTCTGTTATCTGCTTGCCAGCTAGAGGGCCACAGAAAACCATATGGCCACAGTCTTTTTAGTTTCAGTTAGGATTTAACCTTCTTATGTAAGAAACTGGAATAATTTGTTTTTCTGTTAGTCAGCTTTTATTTAGTGGGTGCTAGGGGTTACTATTCTGGATTCTAGCCAAATGAAGTTCTGTCCTGTTGCTGCTTCTTCAGGAAGAGTCTTGGTATTGTTTATAACTGTTCTGTATATGGCAAAAACATGATCAGATTGGTGTGGACTGTGGGGGGTTGCATTCCTCCATAGCAGGAGACATGACCCTCTTACTTGGATCTCTTAAAGGTTTTTTAATAACCTTTATATCAGCAGGACTTCGCTGCCATGGTACTCCTGCTTTACCTGTGGCAGAATAAGGTGTTATGTCTTGTAGTTGTGCCAGAGTTTACTGTGTAGTTTTCCTAATAGGTTAGATAATGGATTTGTATAGAATAGTTTGGATAGAGATGATCCTGCTTCAGGCAGGGGGTTGGTCTAGATGACCTCTGGAGGTCCCTTCCAGACCTACTTCTCTATGATTCTATAATGGCAGAGGTGATTCCTGACTATGTACTTCTGAAATTCTTTTGGGTTGAAAGATGCAATATAAATGTAAGATTATTTCTGGGAACTAGTTATGTTTATATTAAAAATATCCTTTATTTGTTTTTGTACACAAAATACACATACATGCCTGCCTTCAAATACATCCCCCTTGATAGGTATTTGTCCATTTAAAATAAATGAAAAATGTAATTAGATAAAGACATATTGTAGGGTTCTCATAGCCACAGATATTAATGTTTGTGGCTGTTAGGCTTCCCCAGTAAAATATTTAGGAATTTAAGTGATATGATGAACCAGAGGAGAAGAGAATATCAAGTCCCAGAAGATTTTAGATTCAGGAGATTATTGTAGACTTGTAAGTCTTTGAGTCTCCTTCCTTTGTAAGGTGTGCTTTAACTATAAGTAGCTCTAGTAAGATGATGTGCACCACTTTTGGGGGATCCTACAAAATCTTTCAGGGTTTGGTGTAGGGGCTGTCTTTTTTATTATATGTTTATAGTGTAAAGAGCATAGGCTTCATAGGTGCTAGGTCAATAAATAATACTACATAGTATCATGATTGAACACTTACGGCCTTGCTCTAATAACTATGTATGCACATATGTCTGCTCTATAGACTTTTTGTTCTATAGGTGGAGATTTTTTCTGTTCAAAATTGGATTCACTAATTTAGCTAAGTGACAACTTTGTTCTTCTAGGCTACTGGAAAAGTGTGGCCTGAAAATTAAATTTTTAGTGGTGGTGTTATCTGAATACTTCATTGGGACTTTAAATCCTTTTTGTCTGGCAGTCATCTAAGTCCCTATTTAGGAGAGCATCTCTACTGAGGACCTTACATAAGCAAAGCTGTGTGAGCAACTGATTTCTTGTCAATAATGTACTGGATAGTTTTAGCTGTTTTTGTATTTGTTAACTATGATTTGCTGTATATTTTCTGAGAGTAATCCTTGGGTTGACTTGGTATTGGATATTCAGAATCTGAAATGTGTGTCATAAACCTGTCTCGCATGACATTGCTTTATTCCCTGACTGAATGAGCATAAATGTTAGAACCGAGGTTTCAAGGCAAAATGCTAAAATTTAAAGATGGAAATTGCTTCCTATGAATATTCTCTAAAGTTCTTCTGGGGATTTTTCCTGCCAGAACATCCCTTTGCTCGAATATGAATAAAAAGTAAACAGAAAGAGCATGGTGTAAATTAGATAAATTCAATTTCTTTACTCGAGTGAATATCCACATCAAAATTATGTTTCTACTGTGATGTAGATGCTTTTCTCTTCCCCATCTTGCCTCAAAAATTACCTTCCAACCAGCTCCCCATACTGATTAGTATCAGCAGGAATGGCCCGAGGTAGTTTTCCTATTAAAATTATTTGATTCTTTTTCGAAGAGATGTAGAACTCTCTAGCTAGTTCACTTCCTATTTGTAAATGACCTGAGGCAAAAATCAGACATTGCAGAAGTGTGTGCTGTTCCACTCAAGTCAACAGATTTGCACTTGCTTATTATTTCAAAACTTGTCCCTTTCTGGTTTCAGAGCAGGCTAAAAAACATATGGATGTTATTCACACAAAGGAGATCCTATGCAGAGAACACATTTTTGAGCCAACCATTTGTAATCTGCAAATGCGCCACTCTGCATTACCATCTGGCTGAGGATAATAAGGTAACTGCATCATTGTTATTAAGGATTCAACCCTGCCTGCCTTTTTCATTCAAAACTCTCACTGATTTCAGTGGGATGGATAAGAGAGGAAACACTGAACCCGGTGTGGATTAGTGGACTGAATTCTGCTTCTGTAGATAAGTTGGGATGCTAAGAGAGGTTTGTGCCATTAGCACTGTAGAAAAGTACTGACATAGAAAAGTACTGATTTAATAGTACAAAACTATTATACGTTTTGTGTGCAAAAATGGTTCAAGAATTTGATCTAGGCAGACTCAGTGCCATTTTCCTCAGCAAGCAAACTTCACTGGCAAAGTATTTACTTTGCTTTGTGGCTGGGAATCTGAAATTTTTGCACCAAAAAGAGCTGCTACATGTGAAATGCCTATTTGTTTAGCATACAGAAATAACAGTATTTTGCAGATGCCTCAATGGACAATCAAAGAAAAACTACACACACAAAAAAATCACCAAAAAAGCCAGGCAAAGTCAACATTTTTGACTCAGTTGGAATTGGGTTTGTTGTTAAGACATCTAGGCCAACAGCCCATAAGCTAAAGCTTCTGGTTATTGAGGCTTAAATATAAGCATAAATCCCCAGCACAATTTAGGAGAACAGGCTGAAAGAGCTAGGATTATTTAGTAGGGAGAAAGAAAGACTGACAGGGAAGCGGGTGGTAAGGGCTTCAAATACTTGAAGGGTGGTGATGTGGGAGATGAAGATGCACCATTTTCTGTGGCTGCAGGCGATTTTAGAGCATTTACTTAATCAATTAAATGTATTATTAAATTAAGTTATTAATAATTACATTATAACTAACAATATATTATAATTAATAATCCAGTACTAATTAGTTAATTAAATTAATTGATTAAAAGCCATTGATCATTGATCTTAGGTGATCAATGGTTTTAAATTACAGCAAGGGAAACTTAGGTTGGGTACTGGGGGAATTATCTCGCTAGGACAGCCAAGGCAGGCAAAAGCATTGGAACACGTGCTACAACGGGGGGCTGCCCTGATCCTAAGCAAGCACAGCCTACGCCTAAATCCCACCCCGGGCTCAGGGCCCCCTACTGCCCCCTCACCGCCCACTACCCCGCAGCCCCGCTCCACGCCCCTCTATCGGCAGCCCCGGCGCGGGGGAGGAACCTTTCTCGGCCGGAACCTTCCTGCCTCGGCCCGCGTTTCGCCCGCGCCGCCAACAGCGCTGCACCGCGAGGCTCTGACCGGCTGCGAATGGCTGCTGCCGGGAGCGGGGACCGGATTTCGCGCCGCGCCTTGTCTCCCACGTGTGAGGGGAGGAGAGGGGGGGCCCACGTCACAGCCCGGCGGGCGCGGGATGGGGCGGGAGTGAGCGGCGCGGCCATGGCATCCCCGGAGCCGGCGGGCGACAGCGGCGGGGAGCTCAGCTTGGGCGCGGAGGAGGAGGCGGAAGAGCTGGCGGAGCTGTTCGAGCGGGCGGCGGCGCGGCTGCCGGGGCTGGTGGGGGCGGCCAGCAAGGAGCAGCTGCTCTACCTGTACGCACGATACAAGCAGGTGAGAGCGGGTTCCCGCCGCCGGGTTGGGGGTGGCTCCGAGACACGCGAGCCCCCCGGGAGCCGGGCGGCTGCGCAGCTCTTAGGCTACTTACGGCGTCTCGGGGCTCCGAGCCCCCTGACAGTGGCGGG